GGAAGGAGGGACACCTTTGTTCTAAAGGGAACGGCAAAACTTATCCCAGATTCAGTGAGTCCAGCAGGACCAGGCTGAATTTACAAAGACACCCAGCAAGGGCAAAGAAGGATAAAGAAGTTCTCACAGGGTCCTACCAACTTATAAGGGAAAAGACCAGATACTTAAGCTGAGCTTAGGGCTTAAATCTCACAAGATTCAACAACCTACGGCAAAAAATTTAAGAATTCCCACTTCTATCAAGGAGTGCAGAAACAGTTGCCTGAATTTGCACCTTGTTGTAATTTACTGTGTTCACAACCAAGGAAACCAGAAGCAGAAAGCAGAAGATGGTGATTTCCCCAGGCCTTTGACCTTCACTGTTTTTCATGAAAGTATAAAGACTGCAGCTGTCTGATAAGTCCAGTCCCTAGGATACATCCCCAACAGCCCATGATTTCCCCTCTGCCATCATCTAAAGAGCTGAAATCACAGCACGGGGTCAGAAAGGGAGCCAGGTCCAGCTTGAGCACTGCAAGCACAATAACCTGTGTTCACTCCCAGGGGTGCAGATCATGGGAGAACTCATGCTGGAAGGGACTCCAACCTCCTGCTCCCAGCTGGAACTGAGATAACCCCACTCCCCGATCCAGCTCAAGTCCTGTCTCTTGCAGGACATTTTACAGGACATTTCTTTCAGAAGGGAATGCATTCACAGGAGGTTTCTCAAGATCTCTGCTGCCCCTCCACCACAGACCTGCGCAAACCCGTAGCTCCTCACTCACCTTTATCCAGCACGGGCCCAAAGATGGCTAAGCTGTCGTTGACAGTGGTGCAGTTCCACCTTCTCCCTCGAAACTGGTGCTGGCATTCCTGGATCCCAATCTTTACACCTTCGGCCACGCTGGGCATGATCTCCACGTAGTTCCGACAGAAGCGCAGCTGCTTGGGCACCAGGCCCGGGATGCTCCCGCAGAGGATGGGCTGAGTCCCCAGGGAGGAGTACTGGTGACCAATTGCCAAGGACCTGGGCAAAAAAAACAAGGAAAAAGAGAAGCTGTCAGGCTGGATTTCTCCTTTGTACTTGGTTCAGAAGAATGGGGACAGAAAATCAACATCTTCAGTTCCTCTGCATTCCTCCTCACGAGAAAACACCATTTTCATTGTTATCCTTCCCCAAAATATCTCCTGCAATTCCCCACAGCAAGGCAAAAAACCCTGCTTTTAATATCTCCCTTCCCTTTTATTTATCTTCCAACAGCCTCATTGTGCTGTGAAATATTTCCTTTCCCTTTCCCTTTCCCTTTCCCTTTCCCTTTCCCTTTCCCTTTCCCTTTCCCTTTCCCTCTCCCTCTTTTCTTTCCTTTCTTCCTCCCTCCCACTCACCCACCCAAAGATACTCAGCTCCTACAGATAATTTCCTTTGCAACCAAATACTATTTCTTTGAGGCACAGGCACACCTCTACAAGATATTTTATAGGAAATTTTGGCAGCTGAGTCAAAAGCACATTCAGAGCTTCCCAAAGGAGTAACTCCAGCAGTGAAACCATCGAGCTCTGACTCTTTGGAGAGGCAGCACCAAGAATTTGGGAAGGGGAGCAGCATCATTCTGTGGGGCTTTGGTTAAAGTGAGGGGAGTGAAATTAAAGCCAAACCAAACCAACAACCAAAAACCAATCTCAATTAAACTTGAGTGCAAACTCTGTGCTCAGCCCAGTGAAGTCTTGAGAGGAGTGTCCATGAACCCTTATGGTGGTGAAGCCTTGGAGACAAACAAGTCAGCTCTGCAGGGAGATCAGCAGATATGCAGCTAATTAGATAGATTTTTAAAGTGTTTTTTACTGGTGCTTCTAATAATAACCTTGATTACTAAAACTGAAGGGATTTTTAGAGTATAATTTCCTTTTCTTCTAATTAAATCTCTTGATTGTCTTTTCTGCCCTGAATTAATGACAAAGAGGAACCTGCCTGGGCAGTGTGTATTTCTGTTTACATTCGTTTTTTGCTGTGTGGTTTTCATTTGGGAACAGCCTGGTGTGTTTGAATTATCAACAGGGTTGTCAGGGAATAAAGCCTTTACTCTCTTTTGCTCTGACTTAAAAAATAACACAAGAATTCCATCGTTGCCAAAGTCCAGAAGAAAATTAGCTTGACTTTAGCAGCTCTCTAGGCTAGGATAAAAATTATTTTAAAATTACTTTGTTTTAAAGAGAAGGGTCATTGCAGCCAATTAACTCCTTTCCTGGAGAGGATCTGGTCAAGAGGGGACAGAAGTGAGAAGAGGGGGACATTCACATGGTCAGGAACCACATGTCAAGGCCTTTGCTAACTCAGACTAAGCCTTACAAATCCATCCTTTCCAGGCAAATAAGGATTTCTGGATCCCAAATGGCTCCAGCCAGGAGTTTAGAACCAGGACAATCAGCTCAGCCAAGAACATGCCCTCCAGTAAAAGAACTTTAGATGGACAAGGTGGAAGGTGTGTGGAAAAGCAAAAGATTTCCAGCTGATTTCCTGAACTTAGGTGCCTCTTTCCACCTCTGCTGGACTTCTGGGAGATGATTAATCTCAACATTAGAGGACAATTCATCCCACCCCAGGGAGGGAAGCTGAGACAAATGACACAAACTGCTCTCCAGAAGTGCCCCGTTTTTCCAAAAAAGGGGGAAGGCAGCTCACCCTGACCCAAAACTGTGCCACTGTCACCCCCATCCAATGCTCGCTGGGGTGTCTCCAGCTGATCTGCTCACCCCAGGCTGCTTTTGCAATCAGAGGGAAGCAGACATCTCCACGCCACGCTTCCCCTGCCCAGTTCAGGTGTGTGCTTTGGGCTGGGGTGAATCATGGCCTTGCCCCCCTGGCTGTGCTGGCGAGACTCAAACCCCCCTGGGGGCCTGGGGCACGTCTGCACCCTGGAAGTCTCCGGGTGAATCATGCCATGATCCCGGACAACCAGGATCGGGAAGTTCCTTGAAACTGTCCCACCCAGGAAAGTTCAGCCCTGTGTTGAAGGCCACACAGAGACCTCAGCTAGAGGAAGGAGACAAGTTCCTGCAGGAACCCACAGGAGGAAACTGAGGAAAGGACCCATTAAACTCATTTTCCTTATCTCAATGGCCAGATATTTTTGAGCTTCAGATTAATTCAGGGTGCACAGCTGGCAGAAAGCCATCTGGAGCCCATGCCAAGTGTACATTTTTTTTTCATTGTTAAATATTATACAAAGCACTGGACCAAAATTTCTGGACTAAAGACACCTTCTGAAACACTGCTTCAGGCTTCAGAGGACTTGCTAAGTGTTGCCTCTGTCACCTTGTTGAGTTTTAGGGTGCCACAGACCCAAATTTTAATCCATTGAATTAAAGTCTGGGATTTAGGAGGTATTCCCAGCTTTAGGACTGGGAGGTGAGTGGTCCTATCTCTGTAAACCACCTGGAGAGTTGCCTTCATTGAAATCTCCAGGGAAAAACATTTGTTTCATTGTTCCTACTTATCCTCCAGCCACTGACTACAAAGAGTCCAAAATGTGGATGTTTTCTGGTGTCTGAAGTTAACTTTGGTGGGAACATCTGAAGTTTGTTTCTGCATCAACTGCAATCACCAACATCCTTCCCAAAGCTTTCCAAAGTCCCTTACCCAGTTCCCAATGAAGATAAAGCATCCACTGAGTTACCATCAACCTATTACAGGCTCCATTCACAACGCTGTGAAGCCAGGAGGACTTATAGGAGAAGCTGTATCAGTAGGACCCTGATGAAGTTTAGGATTCCAACCTCATAAACTTTAATCATATGAACAGCCAAACTCAAGCCTCTCTCTGGTTTGGAGTTGGTTTTTTTTTGGTGGTTACTACAGTGGTAGAATGAAAACACCAGTCATAGGAAAATGAGTTTATAGGCTGGTGCCCTCAACTATTAGCTTCCGTTGCTGGGAAGATTATCTGAGATTTAAAAAAAAACCCCAAAAACATATAGAAATACCTGTAATTGCTTTTTCACACTGCTCCCTGCTCAGTAGAGCAGGGAAACAGTCACACCTCACTTTGATCTGCGTTACAGTCTGGAAAGTTTAATCTGCAAAAGACAATCTCCAGAGAGAGCCTTGTTCTCAAGGTGTCATCAGGCCCCGAGACGGTGCAATGCAAATTTGGCATTTCATGGGGCAGTGTGGAGGTGCAGGGTGGAATCAAAACCTCAGCTGAAGGTGCAGGGTGGAATCTCAAAACCTCAGCTGAAGGTGCAGGGTGGACTCAAAACATCTCCCCATGAGCAGTGGCTCTGCTGTTGAGCAGAGCTGAGCACAGTCCTTCTCCTCCTCTTCTCCTCCTGGCTCACTCACAGCTCCTGGAGTGTGATAACATCTCCCCAAGCACCCTCTTTTGGTTTCTACTTTGCTTCCAGATGTAAACACTTTCTCCCCCTCGAAAGTCAATTTGTCTTTAGGAGAACCCAGTTCTTTCAGCTCTCTGTCATTATTATTGATCATCAGGTGGGAACCTTACGAACCTCCCAACCTTCTCCTCCACCCAGAAAAACCCAACAACAGCCCAACAACCAAACCTTTAGAAAAGATTGGGAAAGTCTATAAAGATCAGAATCTCACTTCAGTGTTACTCAACTCTCTCGTAGCTCCCATCATTCATTTTTTTCTCACTGTTTCCAATGATCAAACCTGGCATTTGCATTTTTCCACTCTCCTGAGTTCTCCTCCTAAGCAATCTCCTTCATGTGGGTAATTTTGAAAATGTGGTGTCGAGAAATGGGCCGAGTGTCATCTGCTGTGGTCTAACCAGGCATCACCTTCAAATTCCCTAAGCACCACCACTTCCTGGATGCACTGACCCCAACCTCCCCTTTTCCAGTGGAGAATTCCTGAAGCTCTCAATTTTACAAACACACTCATGCCCACAGAACAGCCACTGCTCAAGTCTGAACCAAGGCAAAGGGTCAAAGAGTTGTTCCTTCCAAACCAATCAGACTTTTCTTCCCATTAGCACAGGAGGAGCCAGGAAAACACTGCTCTGTATGTCCACAGCCAAAGTTCTTAGCTTATCTTTAAGCCTTGCATGCCCTGAAGTGTTTAATTCAACCTCCAGTGAGCATTTTTCTTTGCCAACACACCTAGAGAGCTCTTCATTTCCCTTATCTCAATCTATCTGCTCCTTCAGCAGAGCCGTTGTAAATAAGTACCTGGCCACCTTCTTAATAAATTACATGTACCCTCCCTCTTGGAATGGACACCCCAGCCAGGTTAGGAGGGAGAAATATGCAGGAAATACATGCTCAGAGTTTTTTTTCAGAAAAAGAGAAAGTTTCAGCTCTGGATGACCTCACTGTACAGCACCACTCTGCTGAGTTTTCAAGGTCACCACCTTCTTAGCATGTCAAAAGTCCTTGACACAGGAGCAGCATGTGGAGACTCCTACACCTACTTGCTTCTTCCTGAATTCTGTCATTCCTGAGCTTTGTTTTGCTATTTGTCTTGGAGAGAACTTTTGAGCGCTTCCTCCAGGGACATCCTTCCGGGGTCCCCAGCACAGGGAAAATAACTTCATTTATTAATGCTGAACAACAAGGGTGAAACTTGCCAAATTACCCCGGATAAGACCCTAAAGGACATTTAAATCCCACCAAATATTACAAACTGAGCACCAGGAGTGACTTTGCTCCTTTTGTACAGCTAGTCCTGGTGAAGAAGTTAAATCAAAGGATGTCCATCTGTGCATAATAGAGGGGATTTATGTTCTCTTGTAGACGCCTTAAGTGCTTCTCCCTTTGCAGGGAACCCTATAACAAGATGCCACACCTCCTCCAAAACCTTTCTTAAAATCCATCCAGCTTTCCAGAGGTTCAGCTCACCCCCTATCATTTTCTAACTCATTTTGGCTGCCTCTCTGTGGTGCCACATCCCTTAGAAGAATCTCAGCCACGTGATGAAAGAGGGGACAAATTGTGTAAAGTGGTTCCTCTAAAAAGATGCATTTTCAGAACACATCAGTGGTATTATGATCCTAAAATACTGAAATTGAGAAGATGGCTGGAGAAGCATCCATAGGATGTGAAAAGCTCTAAGGAAAACCCCTCAAGGGCTGTCTCCCATCTCCTGGCACCAGAGGGGCTCACAGGGAAGTGGTGATGAGTGGGCAGCCCCCACT